CAAAAGTAAAAAATCATCTCAGTATTTAGAAAATTGGCTATGAAAATTTTGACCGTTCGTGACCGTGGCCATCCCTATTTACGATTAAGCTTTTATATAAATATCGCTACAGTAATGTACTATAAACTAAATTATGCTATTATATTATTATACTTAATGCAACTATTTGTTACTTATCACTTAAAAATCTGTATAAATCGATAACATAACTATATAATTAATAAATTATAAAAATGCTATAAAAAAAAAAAATTCAAAGTCTGAGTCTTCTCTGACGAGAATCTGAAAAATAAAAAAATAAGAATCAATATGCTTGGCTTAGAGAGCTTTAATAAAAAGAATGATTGATGAATAATTGATGACAAATACTTCGTATTTCTGTAGTTTTATCTCTCGAAAGTTGTGTGAAATTTAAAGGTTTAGATTTATAAGAATCCAACTCAAATATTTGATCAAATGGTCGAATTTTGTAAATTGCCATTGGGTGAATGTTGCTATTTGCTAAGTTTTGAGTTAATAATTTAAGCTGTATGTTGGCTTTTCTACTTTCTTCTGCATTATTAAACTGATTTGCATTTTCCTTTTCTAAATGCCATCTGCCAAACTGCATTCTTATTTCTTCAATGCGCGGTCTTTTTAATGGATCTGCATCCCAACATTTGACCATTAAGTCTGTATACACTGGTGGTGTATCATCAATTATTTCAGGTCTTTTTCCTTCAATAATTTCTAACATTAATTTAGTACCATGTGCTTCATTAGAAGATGGTTGATAACCTGTTGCAAGTTCCCACATCAATATTCCAAAGCTATAAATATCAGAAGCTTTAGTGTATTTAAAGTTTCTAAAAACTTCAGGTGCTATATAAGGTAATATTCCATATGAATTACTAGTTTCAAAATTGCAATCAGTATCTTGGCATAGTCCTATGTCACCGATTTTTACAGAACCGTTTACACCCAATAAAACATTTCCAGAATGTAAATCACTATGTACTAGTTCGTGTTTATGAATCTGTTCTAAGCTTTTAAAATTCAAAGTAGTTCGAGAAAAAAGTATTTAAAAATAATGCATATAGCACAAATAAGTTTTAGAGGAAAAGTTACATACTTACCCTGAAGCAATATAATATAATTTTTCAATCTTGTTTTGCCATGTAATATTTTCAAAATTTTTTAGAAGATCTTGCTTCAAACTTCCTTCTTCTGCATATTCCATCACTATAAAAAATTCCCCTGTATTTGGATCTTGCGTATAACCATAGCATTGTAAAATGAATTCTTCAGAACTTGAAAGTTCTAAAGGTATTGCCTATATTGAAAAAATGAAAAAGTTAATTCAGTTGGTTTTTAAGTTTCCGAGTTGGAAAGTTAAATTAGTTGTAGTTTGTTAAATGCACAGGAAAAAAGAATGTTCTCAAACTAAAAAAAAAAAAAATTCTAATATATGTAGAAAAAAAATACAAGAAACAGTCTGTTATGAGCAATGCTAATTAATTTATATCATCAACTACGGCATTATCTATCATATCATGAAATACTATCAAAGTATAATATGCCTTAAAGATACATACATCTTTTATGGTGAACCTTTTTGAATCAGGTATATATTTCAGGACCACGTCTTTGGCCTCTTTGGAATTTAACTTCCAAATGGCCTTAAATACTTTGCCAAATCCACCTTCTGCCAAATACGTGATATCAATAAATTCTTCGTATAATATACTAGATTCATTTTTAATATTTTCGGTTTCTTTATATTCAAACATTTTATATGTCATTCCTCGACACCATAATGTAAGGCTATCTAATTCTATATCCAGAGATTTGTTCAAATCATCAAGTGCTTCATTAAACTTGCCCATCATTCTGTAAGTACATCCACGGTTTCTTAACGTATCAGCATTTTCTGGTTCAATTTCTAACGAAAGATTAATATCTGAAAATGCTTCATCGTATTTACCTAATGACAAATAAGCTTCTCCACGATTTCTTAATATATAAGCAGAATTTGGTTCTA